ATATTTTCGCTCTTCACTGGAAGAAATTTTTTCACCAAAATTTTCTTCCTAAAATACATACAATTTGATCAGCATTATTCAATATATTAATAATGCTGTGCAACGTATAGGTGCACACAAATGGATATAATGTAATACATTTATGTTTCCATACATATATATGAAATTAATTTATTAATTAATTATAATTGAATATAATACATTTATGTTCTATATATATATATATATAAAACATATATAAATTTTGTTAATCACAATTGAATATAGCACATTAATGTTTCTATGCATATCCATGAAATCAATTTGTTAATTAATTAAAATTGAATATAACACATTTATGTTTCTATGCATATGTGTGAAATTCATTTGTTAATTAATTATAATTGAATAGAACACATTTATGTTTCCATGCATATATATGAAATTAATTCGTTAATTAATTATAATTGAATATAATACATTTATGTTGAAAAGAACTTTTCATTCATTAATGCAATTTTTGTTGCTAATTTAATTAATTGCTATCAAATGTTTGCAGCTAACAAAAAAATTGCAATTTATTAATTTACAGAGGAAAATATTAAAATGAAATTGAAAGAATGATGCAATTTGAATCTCTTTAATTATGACATATTGTAAAATAATCTTTGATTCTTTACGACGAAATAGAAAAGTATGCGAAACCGTTTGAAACGATTTAATAGCTTCTAAAAGGAAGAATGAAAAGGAGAGCAAATTAAAATTTAATGCATTTTTGTTTTAGCCATTTATTCCTATATCATCGATGGATTTTCGTTTTCATTCACTGTTAATTGATATATCAGATGTTTATTTACTTTAAAAAATGAATTAAATTAATCCTATTAGGATTAAGATAAATGGAAATGTTGAAGAATGGATGGATCTTAATGGATCTCTTAACTTTTATAGCTTTTTGTTTGCTCATTTAATTCTGAAATTATCTGCAAGCTGTTAATAATAATGATGATGATGACGGTGATCATGATGATAATGATGGTGATTAATAATGATTTATCTCCATCTGGAAGCTAGAAATTTCTTTTTAACATAATATATAGAGAGAAATTGATAGTAATGGGAGGAGGAGAAAAGTTGTAAAAGAAATATAAGAATTTGAAGGAATTGAAGGGATAAAAAGCTTTTTCATCCAGATGTTAGTTTAAACTTTTGGAAAATTATCAATATAAATGATGAAATTGATGATTTCAGCAAGCGTTGAATAGTTTTTCTTTTTTTGATATGATATGATAAAAGGATTCAGCAAGCGTTGAATAATCTTTTTTTTGATATGATATGATATGATAAAAGGATTCAGCAAGCGTTGAATAGTTTCTTTTTGATATGATATGATATGATAAAGGATTCAGCAAGCGTTGAATAGTTATTTTTTGATATGATATGATATGATATGATATGATAAACGGATTCAGTAAGCGTTGAATAGTTTTTTTTGATATGATATGATAAAAGGATTCAGCAAGCGTTGAATAATCTTTTTTTTGATATGATATGATATGATAAAAGGATTCAGCAAGCGTTGAATAGTTTCTTTTTGATATGATATGATAAAAGGATAACTTACGCTAACTATAAATGCACTTTATGCGCAAAAAGAAAAGATTAGAAAAAATATCCATTGTAATAATATGATATAAATAATTGAGATATATATATATATATATATTCATTTGTATTTGATGTGATTAAAATTTAAAATACGATAAGCAGTAAAAAGGTATTGAAGTAATTCAATCGTATAAAATGAAATTGATTTTTAAATGAATTATTATTAATGAAATTGAGAGAATATTATTCGATAATTCAATTTCTACTTTATAATTTCATTTTACTTTATTATTTTTATTTTTATTTCTTTTCAAATATTTACTGTAAAATGTATAAATTGTAAATTTAAAAGGAAAAAGGAAAGTTTTAATTTGATAAACTGCCAAGAACAAATGGATTTATTTTACATAAAGTACGAATTTTTCTTTTGTTTATATGTTAATTAATTTAACAATAAAGGATAGGCAATAATTGAGTAGTTTATTAAGAACTTTTATTATTTATTAACAAAATTCTTATCCTAATTTTTTTCATTCCTTCATTTGGCTTTAAAAAAAAAAAAGAGGTAAGAATTTATATTTATATTTAAGGTAAGAATTTATGCATAATTAATATAATAGAATTTTTCAAATAATTAGAAATTTATATATATATTGATTGTATCACGTATGCAATATTTACCTTAAAATACAATGAATTTGATTGATTGATTGATTATTTATCAATTGTTTATATTATTCATTCATTTTGATTATTCATTTATCGATAATTATATTAATATAATAGAATTTATATATAATTAATCTAATAGAATTTTTTCAAATAATTAACAATAAATTAAAAATTGTAAATTAAATGGTAGAAAATGTTGATCATCCAATGTTCAATGTTTTTTGATTGCGTGAATATACTATCAATCATTTGATTATTGGCTATTATTGGTTGATTAATTTACTATATTGATTGATTGATTGATTAATTCATCAATTGTTTCTAATAATTCATTAATTCCTCGATTCCATCATTCATTAATCGATAATTATATTAATATATAATAATTAAAAATAAATCATAATTAAATAGTAGAAAATGTTGATTTTACCAATGTTCAATGTTTTTTGTTTTGCGTGAATATACTATCAATCATTTGATTATTAATTATTATTGATTGATTAATTTATTAATTGACTGATTGATTAATTCATCAATTGTTTATAATAATTCATTGATTCCTCACTTTCATTATTCATTAATCGTTAATTATATTAATATAATAATTAAAAATAAATCAAAATTGTAAATTAAATGATAGAAAATGTTGTTCTTACCAATTATTCATTGGTTGCGTATTGTTTTTCTTAAAAATAAATTTGATTAATATTAGTAATTAACAATTTCGCATCTTCATTTTTTATAACATGTTGAAATCAGGTATATAAAATACATTTTTCTTCACTTTAAAAAATGAATTAATTAAAAAAATTGAAATTTATTTCAATAAGTGATCAAAGATTAAACTTCTCAATATTTCCTTCTCTCTTTCTCCCTCTCTCTCTTCTCTTCATTTCATCTTTTTTCACGATCATTTTTTTCGACAATATTAGAAATGCTTTTTCATTCTTTCAAATTACTAAATTTAAAAAATGAATGTATAAATTTCACTTGAAACAACATATTTCGATATTGAAAAGATCTGAGAAATGATAAGTGTTTGAAAAAAAATTTTTATTTTAACCTAATTAAAAGCTTGTTTGCCGTTGTTGTTGTTGTTGTTGTTGTTGTTGTTGTTGTTATTGCTGTTGTTGCTGCTGTTGTTATTGTTACTGTTGTTGTTGTTGTTGCTGTTGTTGTTATTATTGTTGCTGTTGTTGTTATTGTTGTCATTGTTACTGTTGTTGTTGTTGTTGTTGTTGCTGTTGTTGTTATTGTTATTATTATTATTATTGTTGTTGTTGTTATTGTTGTTGCTTTTATTGTTGTTATTGTTGTTGCTGTTGTTGTTGTTGTTGTTGTTATTGTTGTTGCTGTTATTGTTGTTATTGTTGTTGCTGTTGTTGTTGTTGTTATTGTTATTGTTGTCGTTGTTGTTGCTGATGTTGTTGTTATTGTTGTTGTTGCTGTTGTTGGTGATTGACAGAGATTAGATTGAAGTCTGAAAGTGAGAACAGATTAAATTAATGAATAGTTAATGGACAATTTTGTTATCATTCATCCTAATGATTAATTAAGTATTTAAATTTGTGCCATTTAAAAAATTAAAATAAAATAATTAATCGAATTTAATACGCTTATGATGTGTTGAAATTTTTACCTTATCTCGTAGAAATTTAAATTTTTTGCAATCTGTCATCTCTCATCTAATAATAATAGTTATTATTATTATGATATTTAATTGTCGCATTTCTTTTTTTTACATAATTATTTAATATGAATATGCAAATAGGATTCAAACAAAATAAAATAAAATTTATACCATTTTAAATATCAGAATTAATAGGATATCAGCATTCTCATATAATAATAATAATTATTATAGCGATATTTAATTCTTGCTTATTTTTTTTTCACAATATTATTTAATATTAATATGCAAATAATAATAATTATTATAGCGATGTTTAATTCTTGTCTATTCTTTTTTACATTATTATTTAATATTATTATGCAATTAATAATAATTATAATTATAGCGATATTTAATTGTTGCTTATTTTTTTTACATTATTATTTAATAATACTATGCAAATAATAATTATTATAGCGATATTTAATTCTCGCTTATTCTTTTTTACATTATTGTTTAATATTTATATGCAAATAATAATAATTATAATTACTATTATAGTGATATTTAATTCTCGATCATTTGTTTTTTTACATTATTATGTATGATTAATATGCAAAATAAACTTCTTTCAAAAAATTCACAAAGAAAAAAGAAATCACTAAAAATTTCTCATCGAAAAATTTATACCCACTTTAAATATTTAAATTAATATATTTAATTAGCAAAATGAATAAACAATAGAATAAAATGTTTCAATCATTTCTTCTTTTTCTTTCTTTAATTGTTTTTTTTTTTGAAATTGCTAATATTTTGTTTTTGTGGCAAAAAAATTAAAATATAAACAGTTTTTTAAAATTTTTTGAAAATTTAAATTGGCCCATTTGAAATGATTTAGTTTGGAATGGATGAGAAGCGTGCAATTTTGCGCCATCAATTTTTAACCAATTTCCACATTTCTACATGTATATGTTATATTTTCGACATAAAATAAGGTGAATAGCCTTGATAGAAATAATGTATAATATTTTTCTTTCCTATTCTCCGTTCCCTTTCTTTTTTTTATTTTAAACGATAAAATTAAAGAAAAATTTTTGACTGTCAAGGACACGAAAATATCTATGAGGCTGTCAATAGGCTGTACTATAAATACAATTACAACAATCTTTTTCATTAATGATTTCTTCTTTTTTTTTGTTTATAAATATCAACAATATGATATGTGAGGTTTTGTTTCTTCTTTCTTTTCTTTTTGAAATTAAAATTATGATTTTTGAAATTGCTAAAATTAAGATTATGATTTTTGAAATTGTAAAAATTAAGATTATGATTTTGAAATTATTAAAATTAAAATTATAATTTTTGAAATTGTTAAAATTAAGATTATGATTTTTGAAATTGTAAAAATTAAGATTATGATTTTGAAATTATTAAAATTAAAATTAAAATTATGATATGATTTTGTTTTTGTTTTTTTTTATTTTTGATATCATTTTTCAATTTTATCGTAAAATATTAAATTTTCCATTGTATAAATTGAAAAATGAATTAGTTTGTGTTTTGTTTTTTTTAAATAATTATATAAATAGTTATATTAAGTAATTATATTATTTTTTAATAATTATATTAAATTATTATTTTTAAATTCAAATAATTTTTTAAAACAATTTTAAAATGCAATTAAATTAATTATGAGTTTTGTATAGACTGGAGAAATGGATAAGTTTGTTTTTTAAATAATCTTAAATGCAATTATATTAAATTAATTTTTTTTTTTGAAATAATTTTAAATGCAATTAAATTAATTATGAATTAATTATGGATTATTGATGAGATTTTTAAATCTTTTACTAATTGACCTAAAAAATGAAATGGATAATGGATCTTTTTAGTTAGTCTGAGTGGAATTGATTAGTCCATTTATATCTTTTCAATATTGAAATAAGTTGTTATCAATTAAAATTCAATGAGTAAAAGTAATTTTATACATTCATCTCAATTTTTCATAATTCAGAAGACTAAAAACTGAAGTGTATATTATATGTGATATGATAATTTTAAATGCAATTAAATTAATTATGAATTAATTATGGATTATTGATGAGATTTTTACATCTTTTAATAATGCATAATGAAAAAGATATTATATGTGATATGATAATGAAAATGATATTATATGTGATGTGATAATTTTGAAAGCAATTAAATTAATTGTGAATTAATTATGGATTATTGATGGGATTTTTAAATCTTTTAATAATGCATAATGAAAAAGCTATTATATGTGATATGATAATGAAAATGATATTATATGTGATATGATAATGAAAATGATTTTATATGTGATATGATAATGAAAATGATTTTATATGTGATATGATAATGGAAAAGATTAGTATAAGTGGAAGAGAAAAGGGAGAGAGAGAGAGAGAAAGGGAAATATAAAAAGGTTTATTTTTCCGATAATTGCAATTTAAATAGAAATTTCGGAATTATTGAAAAGTTTACTTTCAAAATTAAATTACTACTCATTCTTAGTGAAATTGCTTTCAATTTCTAATTTAACTTCATTGAAATGATGAAAATATATTTTATGTATGAATTTTATTAAATTAGGAAAACATAATGACTATATTTTGTATTTTTGTTTTTCAAGTTTAATATGAATGACAAATTGATAATTGCTAATTGTTATCTGTCCTTTATATGTGCTGATATGATTTGTTAACATCTATTATCCCTTATCTTAATTAACAAATCAGCCATGATAATAAGTCATAAAATCTTTTCCTAATCAATTTCATAATGCTTTTCATTCAATCATTAAAAATTTATTTATCAATCAGAGAATTCCAAAATTATCATTATCCATTCTTAATATGTGTTGATATGATTTGTTAACATCTATTATCNTCATAAAATCTTTTCCTAATCAATTTCATAATGCTTTTCATTCAATCATTAAAAATTTATTTATCAATCAGAGAATTCCAAAATTATCATTATCCATTCTTAATATGTGTTGATATGATTTGTTAACATCTATTATCTCTTATCTTAATTAACAAATCAGCCATGATAATAAGTCATAAAATCTTTTCCTAATCAATTTCATAATGCTTTTCATTCAATCATTAAAAATTTATTTATCAATCAGAGAATTCCAAAATTATCATTATCCATTCTTAATATGTGTTGATATGATTTGTTAACATCTATTATCTCTTATCTTAATTAACAAATCAGCCATGATAATAAGTCATAAAATCTTTTCCTAATCAATTTCATAATGCTTTTCATTCAATCATTAAAAATTTATTTATCAATCAGAGAATTCCAAAATTATCATTATCCATTCTTAATATGTGTTGATATGATTTGTTAACATCTATTATCTCTTATCTTAATTAATAATTATCCATGATAATAAGTCATAAAATTTTTTCCCAATGAATTTCCTAATGCTTTCCATTCAGTCATTAAAAATTTATTTATCAATCAAAGAATTCCAAAAATGTGCTAAAATGCTCATTTATGAGAAAGACAACTTTTCAAATAATAATTTATTTTGTTTATTTCATTCCTAGAACTTTTCATCTCTTTCTTTCTTTCTCTCCCACTCTCTCTCTCTCCCTTTCTCTTTCCCTCTCTCTCTCAGATAATATTTTGCAAGTTTCAATTACTTGACAATTTTATTTTTGAAATAATATTATGTTTTCAATTTACATTTACATATGTGCAAATAAAAATGAAAAGGATAATAATATGATAAATAATATATGACATGCCTTATTATAGGCCTTAATATAAATAATTTTATAATACTATGTTTTCAATTTACATTTACATATGTGCAAATAAAAAAAAAGGATAATAATATGATAAATAATATATGATATGCCTTATTATAGGCCTTAATATAAATTATTTTATAACACTATGTTTTCAATTTACATTTACATACGTGCAAATAAAAAAAAGGATAAAAATATAATAAATAATATATGATATGCCTTATTATAGGCCTTAATGTAAAATTTTCATTATAATGCAAATTTTAGGCAAATTATATTTCAATGAAAATTTCACTTTTTTTCAAATGTATTGAATAAATTTATATTTCCATTCATATTTAATTTAATTGATCATTCGTTTAATCTTTGAATTTTGATTTTTGTTCATTTCATTTATTCTTTTCTCTTTTAATTTTTTCGAATATTTGTGAAGCTGGCAATATCATTGAAATTTTATCTTGAAATGGCTATTAGTATTATTATATGAATATTGTTAAGTTGGAAGCTTCATTAAAATTTTATATTGAAATGGATATCTCAGTATTATTTTATATGATAAATATGGCAAATGGAGAAAGAAAGTGAATAAATATAAACAAAAAAATTTTTTGTTAATTCTTTGTTTTTTCAAATTATTTTATTATATATAAAAATTATATAAATATATTAGAGAGTAATGATTTAGTATTGTTTTTGTGTAAATTGAATTTTTTAAATAAATTTGCAAAAATATTTATGTTTGTTTTTAAAAGATGAATAAATGCATGACAGCAAATGTCCTTCATTTCTTCAAATATTCCATCATTCATCATCATCATCATCATCATCATTATCATCATTGTTATCATCATTATCATCATTATCACCGCTGTCGTAATCATCATCATCACTGTCGTGATCATTGTTATCATCATTATCATCATCATCATCATCATCATTGTTATCATCATTATTACACCACTGCCGCCATCGTCATCATCATCATTATCATAATCACTGTCATCATTATCATCATCATCATCGTCATCAACATCACCATCACCATCATTGCATCAT